CCCAGCCGGGGCTGGCAGCCAACCAGGCCTGGCAGGGCGAGGGGGCTCTGCCCAGCCCCACCCCGCCCAGGGATTAGGCCTGCCGGGCACACCTGATACCAGGACCTCAGCCACCTGGCAGCCTGGCCGGGAGGGGGGCGGGGCATGCCCACGGGCTCACCAGAGGGCTGCACCCAGGCCAAGCGAGGAGTGGCCCCCCAACCTTCCTGATGCCTTGAATGGCCGGTCCGTGGCAGGACCCTCTCAGAGGCCGGAGGTGGCTCCTGGTGCTGCTGGCACTGAGGCTCCTGCTGCCCACAGGTAGGGCCGTGCTGCTGAGCTCGGGGCGGGGGGAGGGGGGTCAGGAGAGGTCTGCCACGCCATGTGGTCACCTCCGGGGCAGGTGGGAATCGAACTCATGCGGAAGCAGCTTTAGCTTCTTAGTGCTGTGCTTTAACCCGCGCCACCAGGGAGGGCCGGCTTTTATTTTTAAAGATTTATTTATGCATACAAGAGCTAGGGTGTAGTCCAGAGGTGTGAGGCTGTGAGAGGATTCACCAAAGACAAGAGTAGGGACCAGAACAGGCAGGTGGATTGACTGAAATGCACTGCTGAGGGGAGAAGTAGGTGAGACAGAAGAGGTCTGCCACACCACGTGGGGCAGCTTCCTGCCCGGCACTGGACGCATGGTGCAGTAGCTGGGGGATAGCTTCATAGTGCTGAGACTTACCCTCTTGTGCCACCAGAGAGGCCTGCAGACATTTATTTTGAATCAAAGAGTTGCAATTCAGGGACTACGGGTCTAGGTTGGAACCTGAAAATGTATCAGTAGGAAAAAAAAAAGTGTGTGCAAGTGGTAGGTAAAGGGTGTTCTTAGAAAAGGAAAAAGAAGGAGGTAATGGATGATAAATGAATCTATTAATTTATCAGACTAAGGAGTCAAAAGTTAAAAAATTCAGGTGGAGGAGTAAACAGTAAAAGGGAAAAGTTAACTTTAGCAGTCCATTCAAACATAATATACTTGCTGTCTTGGAATGTGGGGGGATTTGGTCCAATTACAGTAAAGCAAAGCATTCCTATAGTGGCTTTCTCTGACTTATTATTTTTTTAAAGATTTATTTATTTATGCATAGAAGAACTGGAGTAAACGCCAGAGGTATGGAGTGTGAGAGGATTCACCAGAGACAGAGTGGGGAGCAGAACAGGTAGAAGAACTGAAATACATTGCTGAGGGGAGCAGTGGGTGAGACAGAAGAGATCTGCTGTGCCATGTGGGTCAGCTCCCTGGCAGGCTGGGGGTTGAACTCATGCTGCAGTGGCTGGTAATAGCTTGATAGCTCTGTCTTTAACCTCAGGCCACCAGGGAGGCCTCCCTCTGACTTACTTTAAAAGGACTCCAGGGGTGTCACCTTTTCACATTACAAATGGTAGGAATTATAAACAAAAAAAGATAAATTTCACTACATTGAAATTAAACCTAGAGGACAAAAACTCCATAAAGACAAGTCTCAACCTAGAGAAGGTATGTACAGCTTAGATGTTACTAAGTGACTACAGTGTGCTGTCTAGGGATTTACCCATCACTAAGAGAAAGAAAACTGAATGACAAATTTCATGCAAGATAAGGATGGGCAATTCACAGAAGAAGAGATAAGATTCAATGATGATGAAAAGATGAAAAGAAAATGTAAATTATAGTTCCCAGGTCACAGTGGGGGAAAATGTAAAAATCTGGCCATATCTAGTGTTGGTGAGAACATGGGGTAAGGAAAGCTCATCACTGCTGGTGAGGGTGTAAGTAAATTAGTATAACCCAGCAAATGTTAATACTCTACAACTTATTATATGTATTTTAAAAGTTGTAATTAAAATATTTATATATATTTTACATCACTGCTGAATTTTGAAACAATATTTGCTTTTTTTCTCAGTGTATTTCCCATAGAACTTCCACCAATTCACCTGTGCACTGTCACCATAGTTCCTTGTGTTCGCCCACTCTCATTTCGACCCCTCTACCTCCCCGCAGAATGTCTGTTTACTTTTGTTTTGTTGTGTGTGTGTGTGTGTGTGTTTAAAGATTTATTTATTTATGCTTATAGAACTGGGATATAGGCCTGAGGTGCAGGGGCGGTGAGAGACTTCACCAGAGACAGAGTGGGGAGCAGAGCAGCAAGATCCACAAAGTACACTGCTGAGGGTCACAGCGGGCTGGTCAGGAGAGGTCAGGAGAGGTCCGCCAAGCCATGTGGGTCACCTCCCTGGCCAGGGATGGAATTTGTGCTGTAGCAGCTTCCGAGAGCTTCATAATGCGGTGCTTTAATCCGTTGCGCCACCAGAGAGAGCCCTTCATTGTGTTTTTTTTGTTATGAATTTTTCCCCTTGATCCCTTGTTTGTTTCTCCCATGTTCCTCCTATAAGTGAAACCATCGGATATTTTCCTTTTTCTTTCTAGCTTATTTCACTGAGCATAACCCCTTTGAGCTCCATCCATGTTGCTGCAAATGGCATGTTTATTTTTTTGGATTGCTGAATTTACTTCATTGTGTATGTATGTGTGAGTATCTCTCTCTGTATATATAGATGTATATATCACATCTTTTTGATCCAGTTGTCTAACCTAGCATGTATCTTGTCTTAAAGGCTTTCTTGTAACATTTGTGTAAAGAGACTGATACAAAGTGTATGTTTTATGCAACAACAAAAAATCTGAATGTCCACTAGTAGGGAAATGAAAAAAGAAATTGTGATAACACACACAGGGAAATACTATTCAGCATTTAGAATACAGATCATCAAAAAGTGACGATGAACATGACAAGTGATTTAAAGTGTTACAGGACAGGGAGGGAGCACCCCTGAAGCCTGAAACCTGCCAGTTCTAAGTGGGTTCTGCCATCCTCCCCATCAAGACAAAACATATAAAACTTTAATGAAAAGGGACTTTAATACAGTATATATACAATACAGAACACAAAGAATATAACTTCTAAATGAAACATCTGAAGTTACCCATCCCCTCGTGGGCAAAAGTCAACCCAAAAGGAACTGGCCCAAAGCAAGGCCTGAAAGCTGCCACTAGACTAAAGCACCTTCTGGCCGGGACCCATGGAAAAGGGTCAGAAATGGCCAGACAAGTCTGGGAGGAAAAGAACAAAATCAAAATCAATATAAACACTGCCATAGTCACTTCCCTACAGGTTTCTCACCCACATCTGCCTTAACCAGTCCAGGGTCAGGAAATAAGCAGGGTTCTTCATCACATGCTTGCTGCTCCATGTGGCTTCCTCAGGTCTCCTTGTGGCTCTCCATCCTGCTTCCTTCTCTTTTCTCTCCTTTTCCTCTGCTCAGCTCCACCCTCCTTCTGGGTGGGGCAGGGAACCTGGAACTTCCCTTTTCCTAGGGACCACCCTGTTACAAAAGAACACCAGTATGATCCATTTGTGTACACACACACACAAAACCATGTTAAGTACATGAGTCTCTAAACATGTAAATATGATACAGGTAAGAATAAAAGTGGATTGAATGATTCCTATACAATTCATGGTAGAAATTGCCAATATGGGGGGAGGGCAGGTAAATGAAGCAGAGGGAAGACTGAGATTCAATTTTAGCTGTAATGTTTAATTTCTTATAATTGGAAAACTCTAAAACAAAAACGGAAAATGTTCTATCTGTTTATTTTTGGTGATAGGTATAAAAAAGTTTGTTTTATAATTACTGCACTTTTTCAATGAAAACGTTTTGAATGTGAAAAATGAAATCTTGAGAGAGTAGTCATGTGATTTTAAAAAAGACTTATTGGGTTTATTTTAGCTTTTATGTCGACTTTTGAATTTGCAGTTGGATGAGAATAAAAGTTTGATAAAATTTCACACCTCAAGTGAAAATTTATTAGTTGTCCATTGATAGAATCTCCTTTTTATATTAGTAGATTTCATGAATTTGTTCCCGACTAGGCTCCCAGGGCTAGTGTACACCGTGGCTTATGTAATCTGTAGTAATCTTTTAGCCACGAGGAGTTTGTGGATTCTGGGAAGCATTGTTTTGTTTAGCGACCAGAGGAAGATTCCACTTGGTCCTAGAGGGATTCTCATTCTTAAGGTAGGATGTTTTAAATACTCACAGCTGAAATGCTTTAAAAAGAAATTTTATTAAGCGCGTTCTTGAAACGGTTTTTCATCAAACTCAGTTTGACTTTCTAGTTGGAGTTCTTGACGTGTGTGACTATCTGCTAAACAAAATCGAACCGTAAGTGTAATTCACAAAAAGATTGGGAATTTGCATTGTAACTTACAACAGCGTGAATTTCCACAGCTGAGACTATTACTGCTGAGTTCTGTGTTTTCGGAATACAAAGTTAGGAGAAAAATTATAAAACGGGAATTTATCTTTTACATTTACGTTGCCTAAATGAAATTTGATTTTTCTATTGGGATCGCATCCTCCTGTTAACGTGCCGGTGAAGGGGCAGTTCTGACAAAGGTGAAAAAATAGTTGTTTTTCTTTCATACGCCTGTGTAGGGGGAGAGTTCTACTTTGATAGCGAATTATTCGTAAACATTAAACCAAATTTACTTTATTAGCCTCTAATTTGTTCTGAGATTATCTACTCAGGGCTATTCAGAAGGATATTCAGGGAACATGCCATTATGTTCAGAAAGGGGTTTTATTTACATCATTCTCCATACAATTTACTTAACCGAAACGGTGTTTAATTTTTTTCTCTTAAAACAGAGGGACGGAAAGTGCCGAAAACTCCAAAAGGGAACTCTGATCAGATATCTGAGTAGTCTCTGACGTTCCTCCTTTCTCGGCGAGTACAAACCCCGCCCACAGTCGAAGCAGTTTGTCTCCATTCCGCCACCGTCCCGTCCGCGTTGCAAGAATTTTGTCCACCGGCCGCCGCCGTCCTGGAGATTAGTCACCGGAGTGCCAGTGTAGGGAACGTGTGTTTTGGGGGCTGGCTGGCGTTGCCGGCACCATGGAGTCCCCCTTTAGTCCGGGACTCCCCCACCGGCCGGATGAAGAATGGGGTGAGTGGGATCTGAGAATGGCTCCGGGGTCCCAGGTTTCTTCCTGCCCCGGTCCACGCGCGGGCGGTGACAGGTGTGGGCGATCCCTGCCCAAGGAGCGAGGCTACTGGTTGCTTCCGTTCCGGGTCCTGGGACAGCCTCGTTGAACCCAGTCGGCTTCTGCTCCGGCATCAGCGAGCGTCCAAGGTTGCCGGATTGGAGTTACTGTCCATTTCCACTGTTTCCCTTGGGAAAGTCCCAGGTGGGGCGAAACGGCGTCGTTTAGTAGCGCAGGCAGGCAGAATGGCTGTGATCACCACCAACATTGCGAGCTGTTTTCTCAGAGTGTGGATGGTGGGCCATGATCGCCGTGGAGTATGTTTGTGTGTGTAGAAGAGAACGCGAAGGTACAAAAGCCCTCACCTCGCAGCTTCTGTTTTTGGGCGAAGACAGAAAACCAAAGCTTTCCTGGAATCGGCCCCTGATTACCTAGATCTAACACTTAAACACCTATGTGATCCTCCCTGCTCTCTAGAGACAGCTCTACCTTTTCTGGTTTCGGATGTTTTGTTTGATTTTGAGGTGGTGGAGATTGGAATGCTGTAGGAATGAGAATGGAGACGCTTTGCCATCTAAGTGTTTAGAAGTACCATTCGCACGCTCTTGCAAGACATAATACTAACACAGTTCTTGGGCCCGGAGTGAATTTGGCATTGAGTAGGTGCCTGGAGTTGGCCAAATTCACCAGCCGGGGAGAACCCAGACTGCTGTCCATCTTTACACCCTGGATGTTATCTGACTAGCGAGTTAGTTTAATCTCAACTTATTTGAATTGAAGTCCTCATCTGATTTCCAAGGGCAGAGCTTCTCTATAATTACGTATTGTTAAGATTTATGTCTATCCTTGGGTAAATTTTCTATGAGTTGTTGGGAAAACTTTTAATTTTACCAGGTTTATGTTCACAAGCCAAATATAGTAATAAGAGTATTACTGTTGTTACCAAATATAGTATCATACATCATTTATCTAGAACTCTACTATAGCTAGTTAGGGGCTCGAGCAGAACCAGGTTTGTCTGCCTCCAAAGCCCATGCTCTTCATCACAGTTCTCTAAGGCTTTCCTAGATTATTTCTACAGATTTGATTCTTCCCCAAACTTTTGTTATTAATGAGTTTATTTCAGTATATGGGTTAGTTATGCTTTGTTTTCCTAGGTAGCCAACCATTACATCTTCAGGATACTTCTTAAGCTACAGCTGGGGCACTTCCTGATAGTATTGTTATATTTTGTTTGATGCCTGGCTGCATTTTCCTGCCTAATCTAACCATTTGACTCCTAGTTTAATATTATTTAATGGATCATTCACTTCTCTCTCTCTTTTAAAGATTTATTTATTTATTTATGCATACAGAACTGGGATACAGGCTAGAGGTCCAGGGGTAGGCGGGTGACAGGATTCACTAGAGACAGTGGTGAGCAGGGCAGGCAGACTGACTGAAATGCACTGCTGACGAGAGCAGTGGGTGAGACAGGAGAGGTCTGCTGTGCCGTGTAGGTCAGCTCTGGTCCGGGATCAAACTCGCACTGAAGTGGCTGCGGCCAGCTTCACAGTGCTGTGCTTTAACTCATTGTACCACCAAGGAGGGCCTCACTTCTTTGTGATCTGTGCACCTGCCTCAAATCAGGTGTCTTGTCCTGCCCCCTTTTGGAAATTTAACATTGTTTTTCAGACTTCCTTTTCAAACTGTTAATCTTCTCTTAGTTGCATGTTTGAGTTCTAATTCCTTAGGTGATTAAAGTAGGATTGATTTCGCAGGCACTGCAGTGAAACTCCACTGTCTGCACAAATTTCACTTTAGAATATAGATTTTTCCTCTGGGAACTGCCATTTTGGGTATGAAAGTACATCGCTGATTTATTTGATTTTTTTTTCAATTTTAGAAGGTAGCTGGTGAAATCATAATCAGATTATGTAATACTATTATTATGATGATATTATACATATAACTGTACATTTGGTTACTTTTAAATATAGGACTACTTCTTGTACCTCTTACAAGTTTGAGTAATTTAAATGAAGTGATTGTCTCTGAACAGCCCTTGGTGCAACTGTACATTTCCCAGATTTACAGACCTCTGTTGGAGAGGTCTGTAAACACTTGTGTAGGGGTTCAGATAGTAAATGTGATCATGTGGTCTGTATTGTAGCTATTTAACTCTACCTTATAGTGCAAAGGCTGTAAACTGGGCATGAAAATAAACTTGAGCTGATTGTGTTCCAGTACAACTTTATTCATATGGATACTGAAATTTGAATTGTACATATTATTTTTTAATACTTATTAGGCTTAATTTTAGTATAGATTTACAGAATAATTGAGTGTGTTATTTGAGCATATTTTACAGAATAATTAAACATATATTGAGTTTCCAGGTATACCACCCCTCTCCGGTTTCGGTTTCTCCTTTTGTTAACATCTTGCATTAGTGTAGTACATTTGTTACAGTGGAATAATGATAACTAAAGTCCTCCGTTTAAAGTCCTCAGTTTATATTAAGATTACTTTGTGTTATACATTTTTTAAAAAAAGATTTTGTTTATTTTTGTGTAGAAGAGCTAGGCATAGGCCAGAGCTAGAGGGGTGGGGGTGAGGGGATTCACCAGAGACAAAGTGGGGAGCAGAGCAGATAAATTTACTGAGATAAATTGCTAAGGGGAGTAGTGAGTGAGACAGGAGAGGTCTGCTGTACCATATGTGGGTGTGCTCCCTGGCTGGGGTCCATCTCAGTCCCTAGTGATAATAGCACTGAGACTTAACCCCTTGGCCACCAGGGAGACCATGTGTTGCACATTCTTAAGGGTTTTGACAAATGCTTAATGCCATGTATCAATCATTGCAGTATCACGTAGAATAGTTTCACTACTCTATATCCCCCTCTCTCCTCCAAAGCCCCCAGAAACCACTGATGTTCTCATTGTGTCCCTAGTTTTGCCTTTTGTAGAATGTCATGTAGTTGGAATTATATGACATATAGTATCTTCAGATTGGCTTCTTTCTCTTAGCAATGTGCCCTGAAGATTCCTCTGTCTTGTCATGACTTGATAGCTTACTCTTTCTAGGACTGAAAAATATTCTGTTGTATGACTGTATTCCAGTGTGTTCGTCTCTGGCTCCCTTAACAAAATACCATAGACTGGGTGTTTCAAACATCAGGCATTTACTTTCTGAACCGGATGTCTGAAATCTGGTGTCAGTATGGGTGAGTTCCTGAGAGGACTCTTTCTGGCTAACAGATGGCCCCCTTCCCATGTCGTCATACAACAGTGGGGCAGGAGGGAGAAAGAGAGCGGCAGAGGAAAAGGGAGAGAACAAGATCTCTTACCCTTCATACAAGGCTGCGGTCTTATCAGATTCAGGTTTCACTCTTATAACTTCATTTAACCTTGATTTGAAGACTTCCCTATCTTTGATGTAGTCACATCGATTTGGGCTTCAACGTATAAATGGGGAGGGCGCATGGCAATTGAACACAGAGCCTGTGGTCCTTTTGTCTGTGAGGCTATGTTGGTTGCTTTCAAATGTTGGCAGTAATGTATAGATGCTATAAATATTTGTCTACTGCTTTTTGTGTGGACATAAGTTTTCAACAATTTGCATAAATACTAAGGAGCTTTGCTGTATTGTATGATCAGAGTATGTTTCATTTTATAAGAAGCTGCCAAAGTGTCTTCCAAAATGGCTGTACTATTTTTTATTCCCACCAGCAATGAGTGAATGAATGAATGAATCTGTTGTTCCATGTCCTCATCCACATTTTGCTGCTGCCAGTGTTTTGATTTTAGCCATTCTGATAGGTGTGCAATGACATCTTGATGTTTTAATTTGCATTTTCCTGATAATATGATGTGTTGATCTTGTCATATGCTTATTGTCATCTGTATCACTTTTTCCTTCCTCCCCCTTTCTTGCATTTGTGCAAAACCCACTTTTTTTGCCACATGTAAGACATGTGTGCCAAGATGAGAAGTTTCCATCTGCTACTGTGGTTTCCTTTATATCTAAAGTCTCTTCTGTAAAAGTTCTTTTTGCTTCTTGAGGTTACCAGACTTGATGCCCTGGTGACATTGCTTTACCTAAAGCCCTGGTGAGTGAGTGGTGACTATGTTCATCCTCAGAACCTTTTACAAACTTTAAAAGGACCTTTGCTGTTTTGATGTTGTTCTTTCACTCTTCCTAAAAACATCCAGGTTTATATCTCACATTTTCACAATATGCTGTCTCCTACCTCTTCCTGTTACAGTTGCCTGATGATTACTGCTCCACTCTCCTCACTTAAAAAAAAAAATTGCTTTTAGCTTTGCTGTCTCTTTCTCCAACACACCTCCCATCCTGATCTTGCATGACCTCCGTATTCTCAGGGAAGATCCTCAAGCACCCTGAACTCCCTTTCCCAGATCTCCTCACCACCAGATCTTGCCCTCCATCCTGTCACTACCCCTCCCCCACTGGTCATAATGTACTAATAACATAATCTCAGTTCACACCCCCCTCTGACTAGCACTTCCTGTCTTACCAGCTCACTCCTTTCAGTATTCCAGTTCCAACAGTATCCTCAACTGTCAACTGAGATAGTTGGTGTTTTATAGTCAGGAAAGGCATTTACTGGAGAATTGGAATCATAATTTGGCTCCAGGGGCCTTCACAGGGGAACTGGTCTGAGGTTAGGTTGTTTGCTGTGGTAATTTTGGATTGGCCCTTAAGTCTACTTTGTCTCTGATTGGACCAAAGTCTTCAGGACGAAGTCTGCATTGTCACAATTAGCAGATGATGTCTTGCTTTTTGTAGTCACTAAATGAGTCAGGCTGTTTAATTTTCACCTTGAAGACTCAATCCAGCAGTTAGAGACAAGATGGAGTTTTATTCAAAGCAGGTTCCACTGAACTCTGCTGATCCATTCTGCCGTCTTTTCACGGTCCCTTGGATTCTCATTGTGTCATCCTCCCCTTCTTATCCGAAT